GGTTCAATTTAGAGTTGTTTGGGAACTCGTATTCTGAAATAAAAGGATCATACATATTTGTATAACCACCCTCTACCCGGTATAGATACAGACAGGTAAAAAGTGTTTTATATATATACTATTTGTTATTTGCTAATAAAGAACTTCATTCTAGTTGTGTATTCAAAAAAAAAATCTTTATAAAATATAATATATAATAGGTAGTAGGTACTTGTTTTAAAAAAAGTGAAACGAATCAGTCACAGATCACGTCAAAATGCTTTTTAGTAACATAAAACCAATTGCCGGTATTTTCTGATTAAAGACAAATCACGAATTTGTGATAATTTAACTAAATCTAGGTCACGGGTCACGAATAATGTAATAAAAATGTACATACCCTTATACGAGGTATCAGATAGAACTTTAAAAAATAAGATGACAAGTTCCCATAAATTTTTTTCCTAGCGGCCCTCCCTACGGAAATACGGCCTCCAAAAAGACGCCACTGGAAACCAATTTTTCTTGAATAACTTTAAAAATGTAATATGATAAACAGTAGTAAGAACCTGTTAAAATATTGCCCTTAAAACATAATTAGCTTGTTTAGTTTACCAGAGGCGGACTAGGTTGTACATTTTAATGCTTACATTTTTATCACCCTGTATGATATAGAGTTAAAAAATAAATTTCGATACCTTGAATATTAAGCTAAAGAAACGGTACTCTTCTTCAAATGAACCGTTTTCGATAAAAAAAAAAAATAAAAAAATTAATGGTTTATTTTTATTAAAGAAACCATGATTGTTTGTCAGCAGCAAAGTGTAAATTATATTACGTAGTTTGAAAGTTTTCCGCTAGGAAATCTGAATCCGAGAAACCTCTCACATTTTCCCGGGCACCCTGTAAAATTTCACAATTTATTCGTCAATTTCCAATTCTATAGCTAATTTTGCTTTGGCACCCACATGGTAAATAAACAGCTGCCCTCCATTATACAGAACTTGCTGGCCGATACGTTGTCTCCATAGAACACGTTGTTTCAAACTCTGGTGAATATGTAGTCCTTCTTTTACAATAATTAGTTCTGAGAAAATCGGTTTCTAATGCGATTAATTACGAATACTAATAAATAACATTGTATAAAACATATGTAAAAGATAGCTGGTTTGTGCTTTTTGTTAAACATTTTATGTGAAACACTATGTATTGTAACGATAATCTAATAATCTAATTTATTTATAGTTTATTTATTTAAAACACACTATTTACAATTTATTTATGACATACTAATTAATTTATATAATACTTAGGAACTAACTCACAATTCTAATTTATTTATTACATTTTTACTTTTCTAACACTTTATACCAAACTAAAACGAGAAGTCTCTAGACGCTCCCGAAAATTCAATTTCTGACTCAATGGCATACTCCGCATGTTCTACCCGTTTCTCGAGCCTCAGCGGCATTCCTAGAATATTCCGTCGTTTCGAGCATGAGTCGGTTGTCACAGACGTGAGGGCCGCTTGCTTAGACAAAGTGGTCTTTAGGAATTTCGTGACAGTACATTTGTATACCAGTTAAACTTTTTAAAAAAATTATTTACACGTAGTTTAGTTAACTTTTTAACTAAAATAAATATATATTGTTCAGTCAAAAAGCAATGCCAAACCAATTTACCTGGAAAAGTTAAACATTCAACTTGGGACTGCAAGCCCTTTTCAGTAATTTCCATTTAAATGGAATTGTTACACGGTATATTGTAACCAAATAAAAACTTTAAATATTCGATACATGTAATTTTTTTAAATGTTGCAGATAATTTTCAGATAAACTGTTTTTTCATATTTTAAAATAATTTTTATTAAAAGATTTAACTATGTACAACTTTGCTCTTATTTCTTTTCAAAAAAAAATTAAAAAATATTCCGTTCAAAAAGCACATAACTCAATAACAACAAAATATTAATTTTGTTCTTTAACTTGCATTTTTTAGATCTCCCATTCTATTCATAAAATCTACTTACTTAAAAAATATATTTTTTTTAAATGAAATGTTTCTGTATAAATAGGTTTTTTGGGTCTATTGAAAATTTATATTTTTTGTGTTTTTGAAATGGCCGATTTAATTATTCCAAACTAATCGATTAATTAAAAATAATACAATAATACAATACAAATCGAAAATAAAATCTAAAATAATCTGAGAGAGTGACCTTATCGATGGAAGTAAAAACAAAATACAAATTAGAGAGTCATAAAACTAAATTATTGTTTAAAATTGCAAGTAAACAAACAACATAACCTTAAAAATACTTTCATAATTAAAATAATAGAAATTGTTTTACCTTGGTAACAAACAATCGTTAAATTAACCCACATACTTCCGATTTATTTAAGTCCTAGTTCTTATTTAAACACAATTTTTAAATAAATACCATTAAAATTGTCTTACGGGGAATTGTAATGTATTTAAAAAGGTTCGTATGCCGCGCCGTACTTTGTGACGTAACGTCTTGTTTATGTGCGATGTACAAAATAGCTTGGTTTTAAACGGCCACATTGTTTGTTTTACGGATCTTTTTAACTACAGGTATTTGCTAAAACCTCTCGCGCTCAATTAGCATAGTGTACCAAAAAAATATAAATTAATAGGTATAAAAATATTATAATTTAATTTATATTTTTGTTATTACTGATATTTTGGTAATGTGTTTTTATGAATTTTAACTGGGTGTTCACTGCACAAAGGAACCAATGGAGGAACAAGTATAACAGCTACTTTTCAGGTACAAACAAAAATGTCTTTTGAGTTTAATTTGAATTCAGGAATTCAGGAATAAAATCCCAAATCCGAGGAGTAATAACAAACCAAAGCAAAAGATATATTTGACTTCTCTATTAGTAATTTTGGCACTCTTATTGTACGGCCATTATCTGCGAGTATTTCTTATATTTCATTACTATTACTTTTTACACTACTTTGTTGTTCTTTAATAATTTTTGTCTATATTTTATAGTTTTCTTTGTTTTGTATTGTCCGTTTTGTATACTAATCTTTTTTTGTATCTATATAATATCTAAAAAGTAAATCAACCATAAACTAACCCTTCGAAAAATTTAAAAACCTTCCTTGCACAACTCAACACTACTCCTGAGCCACCATCACCTCAGGGCTGCTGACAATTTCTTCCTGCCAAGTTCGATGTACTTTATTTAGAGGAACGCTAACTTTCCGGCCGTGCCGTGTCCGTCCTTCTTCAACACTTCATAAGTTCGTTGGGCAGGTCCGAAGCCTCGCAGGAAGTAGAGAATTTTCAGATAAATGCGAAAAGGCCAAATGTGTGCGGGATGAGTCAATTCGATTCCGGGAATCGGGAATCAAATAAATTGATGTAAGATCGACGTTAGAAGTTGGAAATTTGCGCACGTGAATAGATTTTTGTTAAAATAAAAATAACGCTGATTGACGGATGGTGTGGGATTGATGGAGTGTGTACAGCGTCGGTTAAAGTAATCCTTATACTAAATAAGAACCTCTCTACAAGGTGTTAAAAATATAATACATTTCGTAAACATACTTAAATTATAAATTGGTTACTGTAGATTTTTAGAAACTGATTTCACGGGCCGTTACATTATACGTTAAAGTATATTCCTGCTAGGCATGCTAGTGTGGAAAAATGTGTTGTTATAGAAAACTGTTGTCCTTATTCCAATTTCACGAAAACAATAAAGACTAGAAAAAAAGTATGGGTCTAAGAAGTAGTACGAAGCTAAAAACAAGAATCTCACTCAAGAAACTTAGGTAAACATGCGACAGTATTTCAGACAGAAATAGCAGCAATATATCACTGCGAAAAAGAGGTATTAAGACATAAGGTAAATTGAAAAACCATTGTCATATACTGTCAAGCGACGTTAAAAGAACTCAGTTCCATACACGTATACACAAAGCTTGTGTGGGACTGTTTGGAAGCCCTAACAGCTGGGTTCTCAAAACAGACTAACCTTAGCCTGGGTACCAGACCACAGAGGACATAAGGGCAACAGAGAGGCTGATTTACTAGCCCTAGAAGGAGCCTCAAAGACTCTTGTTGGCCTAAAACCCTTCTGTAGTTGTCACAAAGGCAGCTATCAGAACATACACAAAGCAGTAGATGTTTAAAAAATCTCCAGAATGGTGGTAAAATATACCAGGACAGAAACAGGCCAAAGAGTTCTTAAAAGGACCAACGTCTAAACTGACCGAGCCGTAATAGGAAATATACTAGAGCACCAGAAGGTCTATTATCAGGGCATTGTAGTCTGACAAAAGGAACCTTGTGCCGTGTCTTTTACGAAGAAGAGGAAACTGCAGAACACGTACTGTACTACTGCGAAGGTCTGTCAACACTGATTTTTCTTACAGTTGGAGAAGAAAAACCAAGAGCAACTACCTATGTAGAAGAACTAATTTCCTAGCCTATGGGTCTACTACAAAAGACCTAATTAGACAAGGTACTTTAATGATTAAAGGATATCAAAATCGATTTGAAAATTTCGAAGTAGGGCAGGCCCCACTGCCCACAGTCTTAATTAAATCTAATATAATGGGTGTAAGAATGGATAGCGAACAGTCCCACTTTTATTGCTTATGATAAGCTATTAAACGAGATAAATAAGTTAAAAATGTCCTAAAATATGTAACGAGTTTAACAGTCAATTTTAATTAAAAACTATATTAAATAAATACTAAATGGCGTTAATTACATTTATATTATGAATTTTTTTGTTTTTTAATTATTTATTTTTACATTTAAAAATGTTTTGTATTTTTAACACATCATCAGCTTTGAAGCTTCTTGAATTATTACTTTTTTTCTTGAATAGAACAAGGTGATAATAATATTCAAAAACATCACTGGCTTAACTAGGGTGAAATATTTGGGTAGTTATTTAAATAATTTTCTTCTCATATTTAATTTATACATTTCTATTAATATAAATATAATAGTTGTATTTTTATATTTGTTTCAGATGAGCAGATCGAACAGCAAAAAAGTAGTGATACGACCTGTCAGTTGGAAAACTACCGGATTATTCAGATGCGAAGTCTCTGCAGAGGCGCCATCTTTCGCTTCGGCGCAGAGCGAGGCCAAAATGGAAGTTGTCGGTAAGCACCATGTATAATATAATTTAAACTCATTAATTTTATTTTTATGCTTATCTTTATCTTTGTCTGTTATCAGCAGGTAGAGTTAGATTTGGCCCAAAACATTGAAGGTATTTCCCTGATTTCTCCGTATTTAGGTACTTTCGTTGGAATAGTCATGTGCCTTTGATTGGTATTACTAAGTTTCCTACTAAGTATTTATGGAGCGTTTTTTTCGGTTCTAGACCGAAAGGGGTGAGACGCTGCCTAGTAAGAACTTCGCATTCGAAGATATGGTATGAGGTTGTTTTCTCTTACATGCAGAGTCTACACGTAATAGGATCATTGTATAATCCCATCACATGAAGGTGTTTCAGTAAGCAGTGTCCTGTTAGTAATCCTACAACGGTAAATATTCTGAGGCCTTACGAGCTGTAGTACCTCAGCAGCCATGGGTTTGGTCTCCTAGCATGAGCTAACTAATTCTGTCACTTCTTATATGTTGTCAGTGAATTTGGTGTTTTGTAGTTATCGACCTGTTCGCTGCCTGTCGAGCAAAGGTTTTGCTTATCCCAAATACAGGTTCAGGTCCTGTAAATAATAGTTCTGATAACTTTCTAGCAAGTTCAGCAGCCTTTTATTTCATTGGATACCGTTAGGTCTGGGTAACCACGCTAGTCTTGCCTTATTGTGGGTTGCCAGATCATTTAGCATTTCAAGGCAATTCCAAACCAGCTTTGACTATATTATGTTTGAACCAAAGTCCATAAAAGATGCTTGGCTATTTGAGAGAAAAAAAATGGTTTGGTTTTGTACTTCTTTCTTAAATTCTCTCATTCACTTAATTTGATTGCATGTTTTTAAACCTGAAATAAAGTTGTATGTTTTCCCAGTGAGACGATGATGTCGCAATTGGGTTTAACTCCATGTATGCCAGAGCCTTATCCCTTGTTAGGTTTAAATCTATCCGTATACCATACGAGACTACTAAGCAAGTATTTCTTTACCTCCTTATTTACCTCATTCTAGTTGCAGTTGACCTGGAAAAGTCTGTTGGAGGTTAGGCTTATGATCTGATCCCATGGTTAATTTAGGATCATTTACCTCATGTGTTATTTTGGTATGTTTTTATATCCCAGTAGGTTCCAGTTGTTGGAGATGTCTAGCCTCATACTGGCACTCATTCTGCCCCCCCCCCTTTTAGGACTAGATCAAAGGGTGGGATGTTTTGAATAATTTCTAAAACGGCTGTCGGTGTATTTCTCAATGATCCTGTAATACAAAAGTGTGCCAGCCTCTGTAGTGTATTGTGGGCTGTTTTCTGGTTTACTTTTGGCCACCAACCAACCGCTCCATAAGTTATCATGGATCCTGTTATTGCCGAATGTAGCCAGTGGACCATTTTAGAGGTTAATCTCTAGGTTTTCCCAAATGTCCATCTCATTGTGTATACAATGAGATATATTTTACAATTATTGGTGACTTTTTGTAAGTGTTGATTCCAAGTAAGTGTGCTAGGTAGGATTAAACCCAGATATTTTACTTGTTTTGTTCTGTTTAGGCTTCCTACAAATAGTGTCGGAGTTTCTAAACCTTGTTTTCCGTATAAATGCTATGAGTTGTGCCTTGTCAGGGTTTACCAAGAGGTTGTTCCTAACGTACCACATTTCTGTCAGCCTTAGAGCTCTTTGCATGAGTTTGAAGACGACGTTTTGGTATTTCCCTCGGATAATGATGACTATGTCACCAACGTATCCTTGGGCATACAGTCCTTGATTGTTCAGGGTTCTCAGAAGTTCCTCTGTCACTCTTCTTAGCTTAATAGAAATGACATTAGACTTATTGGTATTTAAGCTTTTGTCATGGCATATGTTAGGTAATAAAATAATTCTGCGTTGTTTCCAGGTATGTGGTACATGTTTATGCGTTGTTTGGTTTGGTTTGCAATCAAACAAATGAGTTTTAAGAAATAATTTGAATGTTTTCATTCCAAATGTACCGTATTTAGCAGTTTGGGTTTTTAAAGTCCCTACAGGGTTTATTAATTTTACTTGTTATATAACTTGTATAATATTTTTATAAAAGTTCTTTGACGATGTTCTTTGATAATGTTCTTCTATGTTCTTTTTTAAAATTAGTTTTTTTTTGTCACCATGCAATAAATATAATTTGATTTAGTTTTTGTCTCATATGAAAAGTAAAGGCGATGAATTAATTAATATCATCGTCACCTGATCTTCAATATTTTCCTTTTCTTGTTCCAATATGATTGCTTGTTTTTATCTGTTTGTAAATATTTATTTAGCATAAAAAGAAAAAAAGACAACTTTTATTATTTTTTTTTTTAATTTGGTGTCATCGGCGTCGACTACTACGGTCATTAGCCTCGTGTTCTGTGCAGGCTTTGTCACTGTTTCCCAGCGCTACTTTAGGAATAGCACTTTTAATTAGAACCCAACAGTGAATGGTCGAGTGGGGAATCCTACCAAGGCATCAGAATTAATTTTAAATAATTAAATTAAATGAAAAAATCCCGGCCAACGGTGGGATTCGATCCTGAGACCTTCCAGTCTCAAAGTCATGACTCTGAGCCAACCCACCCCCAACTTTTATTATTAATATTAATATTGTTATTATTAATGTTATACCGAATAAATCCTAAGTTTTTTTAACTGTGTGTAAATGTCATTAAAATAAAAAAAAATCCAAAGAAGGGTTTTAAAAAACTTAAAAATAAGAAAGATACAGTATGAAAAACATTAAATCTGAGCGTTAACTTGTGTATGAAAAGTAGTTAAATGAATTAATACGTCTGTTTGTTTTTATCTGTTTTTTCGTTTTTTTTTTTAAGAATATGAATCACAATTTACTTGTACCAGATTTTGTTATTAAGTAGCCTGATTTCAGTAGATCATTAATGTGTTCTGTTCAGTATGGAAAATTGAAAATAAAGTGTGTTTTCAAGAACTCATTTTAAATAATGTTATCGAGGAAGATCCAACAAAATCAATAGTATCCCTTTCACGTTCAACTTAAATATTTCCCCGCAGAATTGTTTTGTAAATAATTCTTAAAACGGTATAAATGAAATCAACATTTTTCGACCACATTTATACAGTTTTTACAGGACTGTATTAGATACCTTTTGAAATAAATTATAGTTTCTTATTTTTGAGTTTTTTTGAGAAAAATATTTTAAAGTTATGAATTTTAGAAATTCCTGAGGAATAAAAGATTATCTACTATCTCAAATGTGGAGCCATGCAATTCAAAAATACAAGAAATTAAAGCTGACAAACACATAAAATTAATGATATTACTTGAATTCATCATATTGGTAGTAATTAAAAATTATCTTCCAAAGGAGGTGTCCCTTGGCTCTCTTTTAAATTAAAAAAATAATGGATTATATTGTTAATTACCCTAGAAACAGCACTATAAAACGAAAATATCGTTTTTTTTTTAATTAAAAACCCATTTAAAGAGATAGGATATGTTTTATTGATCAACTTCTGGTTCTATCGTTTATTTACCATACAAATTATACGAGTATTTTGATTGCATTAAACGTTAATCCATGGATTTTATTTTCTGAACTAAATCAATAATCAATTCCACTAAATTAATTATCGCTATAATCGGGGTAGATTTTATTTGCTGAACTATAGAAAGGTGATTATTAAATTATTCAGATTAACGTTTGTATAATTTAGTGAATTGTGATTTTATTAATCAATTATTAGCTATACTCTTTTATTTTTTAAACAATACATTTTAGTTACAAAATACACATTTATTCAATCGTACTACTTAAATATTATTATATGTTATGATTGGTTGAAAAAGTAGAAATTAAGATCTCTGTTTTGATAGTAGTTTGTATAACAAGAATGGATATCCTAGTCATATCACCAGAGATAACAAGGGAGATATAACTACTCATTCATAAAATAGAATATCTATGATGCCAACATCAAATTAGTCGATTTGGTGATCATGAGAGGAAAGACGTGATGTGTGAGGTAAGGGAGGGGATATACTGCAGGACTGAAGGCCGTACACGTTTGTTAGTCGCAGCGGAGTATAAATAAATTGCATTGGCGTACTCCAGGAACGGGATAAATTAAATTATTTAAAAATATATGTTTTTTTAACCCCGTAAAAATTTTTGTATTTTAATATAGATATATTGAGCAGTAGTACACATATGTTTTCTGCAAAATTCGTTGAGTTTTTAATTCATTAACGATATATAAATTTAGAAGACTTTTAAAGGCATCTTTTTTACAGATGATAGGAATTTGTATATATTTCTTATATGCACCAGAGTTTAATCGGGCCGTACAAAAGTTATCTAAATAAAAAAATTGAAGCTAATTAAAAAATATACGATAATAAATAAAATAATACTATTAAATTTGCTGTCGCTAATTTATAAAAGTCACTGGTTCTATATATCCAGGGTTTGTTCTTAGATCAAACAATAATTTTTTTTAGTCCACATGGATATTAGCTTATCTACGTACAGAATACAAAACGAAAAAGTATGCTATTGCATTCATTTAAACGGATATATTTCATTTCTGTTCTAGGTAGTTCATATTTTGGTCACCCAATACAATTCTTTTTAAAATGTTAAATAAGTGACAATTGTGTCAAACTAATCGTCAGTATATTCAATTATTGAGATTAAATATACATTAAAATGAGTTATTTTTGTGTCGAATAGATAAATAATAAATATTTTTTTTACATAAAACTAAGAGGCGTCACACTATAAAACTCAAAGAAAATAATAATGTAAATATTCTTTTAAAATCCATGTTCAAAACTATCTGCCTCAATGTGTAAACTGTTGGTATTTCCAATGAATCAATCAATCCCTTATTTATAAATAAACAATTTATATCCTATTTCCTGGAATTGTTTTAATCCTATTTTCTATATCAAAACAAAAATAAAATTCTAAACAGGTAGGTAATCAATATGTATTTATGGACCTATGTAAATAATCTTTATAA